GAGTGGTGTATGATGAGTGGTGTATGATGAGTGGTGTATGATGAGTGATGTATGATGAGTGGTGTATGATCAGTGGTGTATGATGAGTGGTGTATGATGAGTGGTGTATGATGAGTGGTGTATGATGAGTGGTTGTATGATGACTGGTGTATGATCAGTGGTGTATGATGAGTGGTGTATGATGAGTGGTGTATGAACAGTGGTGTATGATGAGTGGTGTATGATGAGTGGTGTATGATGAGTGGTGTTTGATGAGTGGTGTATGATGAGTGGTGGTTGAACAGCTGTTGAATGTCCGTAACACGGAAGTTTTGCACACTAAACTTCCTTTGATAATGGTAAACTGTGGTAAGGAAAGAAGTCAGTGTAAGTGGAAATGGATAACATCCAAACCTAAGGCCTTTAAAGCTGCCTTCTCCAAAAGGCATTCTCTTTGAGTGAACACGTCTCCAAAAGTAAAAAGCGTCTCGTTTTTGGCCGCAATCACATACTCCACCCCTTTTGCCCTCTCCACGCCTTACAACAAAATACTTGGACAATGACTATGATATTCACAATTTTGGGAAGGATTTTCCTCTGTCATCCTTGGTCATTAGTTCTTTTGGACAGAAAGGCAACTGATGGCAACTCCATCCTGCGGTGTGTCAGGCCTTGCATGGAGGACCTGCCAACTACAGCATTGGTAGAAATACGCCCCGATACAAGCAGCCTTGTCCGCAAAGCCTGTGCTTGCGTCTGGCTAGTGACTAGTGCACTCTCTTTTTCTAAAGGTCGGATCTGTTTCGCAGCAAATGCTCCTTGCAAACATGTGAAAAAACCGATTTGATACTCAACGACTTGGACAGGGACCTCAATACCGTAGTATATGACAGTCCCTCCTTACGAGAAGGATATGGAGTCCTATGGAGTCCTTACTAGTCACTAATTAGTCCTATATTGTTCTATGTACTGCATATTATTTTTGTTGTATGACGTTGTTTGCGTTGGAACCATCATGGGGGACTTCACTCCTTGTTACTGTTGAAGGCAGACTCGACCAAATCTGATGTGTCTGGGTCCTAAGACTTGAGCAAAAATGCGCAGGGCGGCAAGCGTGTGGTGCCCTTCCCCTTGATCTGCTGATCTGACAGGATCACATGATCCTTGACTCGATGTTAAAGGCAAATTGAGATGTCTTGGTTTACAAGCACTTCATACTTGATTCCCACCTGCGCCAGGTATGTTTCAAAAGACACCTGGCTCTCAATTCCGCAGTCCTGAGTAGCAGAAGCATGGCAAAATACGGCAAGACTACGTGGTTGAGTTTTGTGCAAAGGCATGCTGTGAAAGCTGCCGGTGTCCTCCCTGCCTGTAACATGTGTATGAAGCACATCCTGATGTCTATTTTTTGAGAGTCTACTGCATTGCCCACTAGCATTTGCCGATTTCTTCTGTCTTTCTTCCACAACAATACTAATACAACTCCTTCAGAACGCGGCAAAGCATGAGCAAATGAATAGAATGATCAAATTGACAACAATTGAAAACTAGCGATCTCCACCCCAGAAATAACAGCAAGTATGGGAACACAGTTTACTGTTGAACAGCATAGAAAAATGTCACGTACGTGAAGGATATATAATATATATATATATAATTGCTTGGTTGGGTTGATTTGAAGAGTGAGCATGGGTAACATCACTGCGGCAGGCCAGCTTAGTTGACTGCACTAAGAACCTCATCTGAAGTAGTCATGTGGTGAATGATCCACCTTTCTACTAACTCTGCCTCAACCTCCCATTCAGGAGCAGGTCAACACATGCAAAAAAAAGACTTCAGCTGCAGCTTGCCTCTTTCACTAGCATGCGAGAGTTTGCAGGGGCAAGTAGCCTGCGAATGCAAGCCAGTAGTTGAACGGAAGGATGTATTGTATCGCCCAAATATGAGGGAAAGAACCAACGTGTGTCTTTCTTTCAGGCCGATAGCCAGAGGCCAGAGGGTGGGAAAAAAAAGGTGGTCAAGAGGAAACAATACACACAAACGAACCAGTCCTTCTAGACTGCGAGATCCGATTCTTGAATTCACAAAGTGGATCGATCAATCCGAGTGGGAATGATCGGTTGTGCTCTGAAGTAGCAAGGACGCTACTAGGGGCTCCTGGCCTTACTACTAGGAGCAAGGACGCTACTAGGGGTTCCTGGCCATACGACTAGTAACAAGAAGCTATTAGAAACAATAAATAACATAGAATTAAGTTTACTTAAAATTTGGCTTTTATTCTCTTGGCCCACAGACAGCTGCTGCAGAAGATAGGCGGCTTGCAAGAAGCAGGATGGCAGGATGTGAGCATGATATTATCGGGAACGGGGAAGGTTGCATTATCTCAAACGATCAGCATGCGGGAAAGCTACAAGTGGCTCCTGTCACCTTCCAGCTTCAGACTGCGCCTGATTCGTCGGCCATTCACTTCGTACTCTGCATCGCTGATTTGAGTCACAACCTGACATTCTATTAAACATGTAGACCAAAGGTCCCACCTGGCCAAGCTTCCTCGATTGAACACCATTGTTTCCAATCCCCTGAATTGAGGACCCAGCAGGCTTCCCACCTTTGAAGTTCTTCACGATTCTCCACCTCATACTTGGGGGTGTGCAAATTCGGGCATTCTGCACAAATGGCTCCGAAATCCCCTCTCCACAGCCCAAAGATCAGTCCAATTGCCCACACAGCAAACCAACAATTGGACTTCCAAAAAAAACATGATAACATGCCAACTGAAAGTTGTGCGGCGTTGCATCTTGAACTCCAAAATTGAAGCTTCTATTGAAGGGTCTTAATTTTAAGGTTGCGGTCCCTTGGGGTGGGATTTTGGTGTTCAAACGTTGGCCCTTTGGTACTTGATAAGTGGCTTCTGGGAAGGGCTTGTTGTGGGCCGTAAAAGTTTGAAGACTCGGCATAAAAGGATATGCGGGGGTGGACAAATGATAAATGTATATAAAGACGGATTGATTTGGCAAGGCTTAGTCTTGTTGTTCAGAATAGCAGCCGAACCTCTTTATACCAAATGCGACGATATATGGTTAGTGTATATATTCTCAAAAGCATCAGCAGCTTCGTATTGCATATTGTCTGTCTCTACCTCCATGTGCAACCGTGCGCGATCTTTTGACAACATACTGTGTTGAAAGGAATTATCAAGGATATTGCCGGTGCACAGTGTATTTATTCCCAAGCTTCCTGAGCGTTTCATTATTCTGCGTCTCGTGATGCAAATGCAATACTGATGAGGTCACAGCAATGGAAGGCTATATAAAACAAACATCAACAAATGATGGCTGTGAATCATACAAGTGCAAACTTGCCGTTCAAAGAGTTACAAGTGACGCAGAAATCTAGAACCTGACCTAGATGAACTGATCTGAATTAATCCAGAACCAAACATTACAAAAGGAAAAAAACACCAAAAGAACCAATAAGTCAACACAACCAAAACACGATTTGGGGACTATTCCAGAATCCAGAGTAGTTGTGGACTTTTTTCGGTTTGTTCTTTGAGTTTGTGTGGGTTGTCCGTTCGAAGGCATGTGAGAGTGAATTTCACCGACATTGTTTGAATTGATTAATTCATTGCACGTGTTGTGCTCCCCGAAGTTTCCCTCTTCAGATTCTCAGATGCGCCTGGAGCTTCCTGCCGACGAGTCTTGTCAAAACACGTTCAATGCAACTTTTGCCGTGCTGAGCCGCACTTGAATCGTCCTATGAGTGACCCCAGCAATGTCATTGCAAATCGAAGAGCATGTACATGCATTTTCCCTGCAAGGGCTGCCTCGAACTTCCCACATTGTAACTAGGGCAGCGTGGCACTGAAACTCATCCCAAAGTTGCTCCTGTAGAGAACGTGTTGAGATGTGCCATTCTTTAAGCCTCATCTTATATTAATATTGATCTGGGCAAGAAGAAGGAGCGAGAGGAAGAAGAAGCCTCTTCAGTGACAGTCCTCTTACCAAGTCCTTCGTCACTTCGTCATCAAACAAGGAGATTGTGTTCAACGCAAGCAAACCCTTTCGATCCAGGTTTTGTTGATGACACGGACTGAGCAGGAAAGCCGTCTGCCTCTTACGGCGAGGGCGGTGGTAGAGGGAACTGCCCTAGTTGATCGCACTCTCCCAATGCACAAGTGGTGCCAACGAATCATATCAATCTGTTTGCAGGACACTATTGAACAATAGACATTCACCCACAACATTTCATAGTTCACTGTCACTGATTAATTGCTGTGTCTATTGTTATAAGAACAAATCCTCTGTGAAAACTTGGGCTTCCAGCACTTCTTGGTTGATGTCGCTGACATTCACATGTCTCTGCTGAAGATGCTGCGCCTCATCCTCCTGGCCACGAAGTTCTCCGATTCAACATAATTCAAGTAGTGAACATGGAAGACAACAGCGAGGAGTCAAAAAGCAAGTCCTGGCAATGATGTGCCTTCGATGTGCAACGAGGTGTACCTCCAGCAACATCGTAGACTGGTGCCTATGGCTTTGGGGAGCAAGCAAATTGGCGAACACTGAGAGGATCTGCTCGAGCCAAGCGACTTTGTTCTGCGACAAGCAAGTGCGAGCGACTGCTTAAATAACCCAACTTCACTGTCGATTCAACACGGAACCAAGAACATGTCCTTCCGAACGCTGCAAACAAAGTGTCACTGTCTCAGCTGGTAACACATGTTGTAAGTGGCCTGCACTGAGCAGACCTCAGATTCCAAAGGCTAATATTTGAACTGCAGTATTGTTTCAGTGAGACTTGGACAATGGCATTTCGCCAATTGCTGCGACTTTGCTAGATACAGTTGCAAAATACATCTGGCATCTGAACGTAAGGGCTAGCAGCACATGTTGCGCTTCTGCAACACGACAACTTTGCACAGCTGCAAGTTATCATAACTTCAAGCAATATGAGCATGGTGCGTTGCAGCCTAAACCAAGAAGTATCGAGACTTTTGTTCAACACGATATACAGTACTGGATTGATTTGGATTCCCGCTATGCCAAATTGATACCATAACATAAGCCATCAGTAGCAAGTGTGATTGTCGGTTGTGCCTACGCTCTTGATTCATCCTTTGGCATGCCATGAACATAGCTTCCCACAGCCCGGAACTTAGTAGGATTTTTTGAACAAGCACAAGCAGAAAGACTGGTGATTCCATTAAGGACTCATGGCATATTCATCCACCCTTAGAATCGTAATTACAGGACATGTTCAAACGCGGCACTTCTCTGTGATATAAGATCATTGTAGTTATCACTAGCCATCAAGGCCGGCCTGTTATCATCAAGCATAATCTTTGATCTGATTCAACTTGGGTGAGCCTTTGGGATTTGAATAAAACTATGTCAGATCTACAAAACCTCAATTGATTTTTGCATGGATTATAGTTAACGTTATCATTCTTGGGGTTCACTATATCGTTTTCCACTGTCAAACACCTGCCAAATGGGAGCGGCTACACTTTTAAACCTCTACCTCAGCTTCTTCAAATGTGGTAGCTGACCACCTACACGCAATAAGCGATTGATCTTCTCATCCGCAAAAATTTATCTCACAAATCTGTTCACATCTGGGCCATCAATAATAAGAACATATTTCTGTTCAAAATGGTTATCCTTTAGATAGATATCGTTTTGGATCGTTTTGGTTATCGTTCAAAACATGGACACATCTTGGGAACATATTGTGGGAATTGACATGTTTGCGAGAAGGCCGAAACATTGCGAGAGTATGCCCTACACACATTTGTTAATATTAATTATACGGAAAACTTGAGGAATGGTGGGAGTTCATATCGTTTTGCAGGTCGAAGTGCAGGCGTTCAGTCAATCTCTGCTCCAATACTACTCTGTTCGATGGAGAGTTTAGCCAGTTGCTCTCTTTCTGCGCAGTGTTGGAGTTGGCTTACCAAAACATAAACTAAGCTGCGAACGTTGCTGGTGAGATCCTGTCTGGTTTTGACTTCTGAGCCTCAACTCCATTGAGTTTGTTCTATGTGATCAATGAATGGAAAACAAAACATTGGGATCGGAACAGTTCGGCAATCATCTGGCAAGCGGCAGCCTCGGTGAATTGAGTTCCGAGGTCTTTCTCTCTGCCTGTTCTGACGAAAGTCCATGCATCAAAGAATATGGGCCTGTGGTTTGCACAATGCAGTCACATGTCACATGCTCGATGTGTTCGAGGCTCAAACCACAAAACAGTGTGGCCAGGGCCGCCATGTCAGTAGAGATTCCATGCCTGCGACAAAATGTTAGCTGTAGATAGGTGCACCTCTCTCAAACCTTCAAGGCTTATTTGAAGGTGAGGGCGTTTCACCACACAACATGCCTGATTACCCAACAAAATCTGCTCAAACAAATGTGTTATATAAATATATATAATAGTTATATATATGTTGTGAGTAGACCATGGCTGGGAGCCCTTAAGGCCAGCGCGTCCCATGCGCTTCTGTCACCGCTTTCCTGGTGTCAGGGTGCATG